CTGCAATCTTTGGCTATATCTTGGGCTACTCCAATATTTTTTTTGTTGGTGTGTGTGTTTTAGCTGGCAGCACTGGCACTTTTGTGTGGTGTTTTTCTGAGGACTGTGTGTGGTGCTGAATCAAACGTTTTTGATACTAGATCATCTTCTAAAGTATATTTTTTTTTTGTTTTTATATTTTTCAATATATTTATTTTGTTTGTACAAAATAAAGAAATAATTTTTAACGATACAATAGTCACGATTATTATTTTAAAAAGTTTACGTTAGGCTTAACATCAACGAAAATTCAACGCAAAGCGACACGCAATGGAGAAAAATTTCAACACGGGATAGGTTAATATATTTTTTCGTACATAATCGGTTATCCAAAAAAATAAGTTATCCGAACAACCCCATTCCCCAATTGATTTGGATAAATGACACTCTACTGTAATTTCCTAATATGCTTAACTTGATCTTGGCTATTTCAAGTCAAATAAAGGAACACTGTATATGCTTCTTATAGATATTGATGTACTGTACAGTACATATATTGATGAGCTATGCATTTTGTGAAAAATTTTTTACATATTGTAAACCAGTGAAAAAAGCATTTTAAGAATATTTTTTGTATTACAATACAATTGAAACTTTAACATAAGTAAAAGATTTTTACAATTTCAATGTTTTTATATTTCCAAAACATCATCTTCAGGAACAACATAATTAAACTAGAACATGTAAATGTCAATTTAATATATTTTTGATTGTCGTTTTTTAACAGTAAAATACATTAAAAACATGTGAAAGTAAGGAAGGAATAATTTAATGTGGTGCTATTAAGAAATGTGTTTAAATAAACAATATTAAAAATTAAATTGCAACATCCAATAGGTATTGTTTACTGGATATTGTGATTGGAATTTTCAATTATGTTATGATTATGTATAGATATGATTGATTAATTTCACATCTTGTGTCTTCCAGCAATACTTTATTAAAAGGTTAATAAAGTATTGCTGAAAGATATAAAGAAGGTATGAAGTTAATTATTGTTAAGTTCTGGCTTTTGAACAACACATTGCTTAAGATATGCTTAAAACTTGAGTTTTAATCATATTCTGAAAAAAATTGCTACAATGGAAATAAGACCATTTTATAATTCAAACCAACTATATATTATTCTTTGAAATTTCTATTGAAAAACTGGTTCCAATTTACAGTTTAGAAGGTATCATTTCAAACATTGATTTTTTCTCTATTTCTTTTGTTTCATTTTTGTTAGCAGCAGTTCATAATTACAGTTTAAAAATAAGTGAAATAACAAGTGGAAAAATGGAACTTTTGAGAGGGAGACTTCTTAACACTGTCTAACCAATTTTCTACAGTATTCTCTATACACTTTTAACAAAAATGAAATTCTGTTGAATCAGTTTTTTTTTCTTTTATCAAATGTGTTATAGATTAAGGGGAAGTGATTATTTTTATTCAATAAAAATGTGATATGTTATATTGATGCATTTGCATATGGAGAAAAATTTTTTATAAAACACTGTATGCATCATATTTGATACACTGTTGTTTATTTACTTATGATCGTGCAACTTCAGATTGCATAACTTTTTGCAATGTTGTACAAGATATAAAGAAAAGTTGCATATGTGCCTGTATTTATAAGTTGATTTTTTAATTTTTTATGAATCAGAAAGGCTTTCAAAATGGCTGTCAGAAAGTTTATGCCAGAAGATTTAGTTTGGATGTTGGACAATTATAGAATTAATAGTGATGAAAATAATTTTGAAAATGATGATACTAAAAGTAATTTTTATTCTGAAGATGAATATTGTCTTAACACATCTTGCAAAGATATATTGATGGCTATATCCTTTTATTCAGAACAAGATAACATTCAATCACAAACTCCCACTGAAAGCAGCATCAAAAAAATGAAATATAAATACTACAAATGTAAATTGGAGTTTGGATTTTCTCAAATCAAATTGGTATTGAAAAATTCCATTTAACTTCTCAGTATGGGATTTTTGAACAGCTGGATAATTCACAAAATGTGCAACACAAACCAAAAAGTATTCACTCCAAGACATTACAAAAGTTGTAGCAGTATCTTTACTTAGTAATTTTAGTTTATATAAAGTGCTTTCTATTCCTATTGACACTTGTACCAAGAAGCACTGCAAGAAAAATAGTGTGAAAGAGATGTTTTCCTTGCTACAAGAGGATAGAATTAAAAGATGCCAACCAAGCAAGAAAAACAGAAAACCAAGTTTCAACCCATTGTCTCAGCTGCAATACGGTGTATTGTCATTCGTGCTTTAATGCTTGCCATCAATCTAAAAAATAAAATATCCTCTAATAAGAAAAAAAAATTGCATTTGTTTTAATAAATTTTTATTTCAAAACTAACATTTTCTTTTTATAAAAAATCGATAGCAGTTTAACTTTTTAATAATTATATTATAACCCTCTTACATTTCTACTTCTGTTTTTAAAACAAATAATAAATTAAATACTGTATATACCTTCAAATTTACCATTTTATAATGTTCTTTTTGCATAGAAATACATCTCTCCATAAGAACGTTGTCATAAAAACACTAAAAAATTAGAAAACTTCAGGGAACAATGTTTATAATAATAAATGGATACATATATCTCATATGTCTAGAAACTTAAAATGCATAAGTCATAAGTTTCATTTTTAAACATTTGTTTGAAAATCTCTAGTGAAGTATATCACAGGTGATGCATGAACAGTTAAAGGATTAAACTTTGTAAGTGTTAAAAATAAAAATACCTTTATCTATTATTCCTCATTGTTCATAAATGTCACTTCCTCAGTTCTGTTGCTATGGTTAAGATCCATGCAACTTGATTTTGCCACTTTCGTTGATTATCTCATTTAATACATAACATGACCAAAAATCACTAGGATAATAAATTTCAGTTTATAAAATGCCATATACAGTAGAGCATCGATTATTTGACTCAATTGGGGACTGGGGTTGGTTGGATAACTGAAAAATATGAAAAAATATATTATTAGTATAGTATATTAGTATATCCCATGTAATTATTATATCGCTATTAACCTACTTCACATTGAATTTTCATCGATGTTAAGCCCAACAAAAATTTTAAAAAAATAATAATTGTCGTTATTGTATCATTAAAAATTAGAAAATTAAGCCTCGTTCAAATACTGCCTCCCTTTCATGGTTGAGCCAGTGTTGCCAGCTAAAACATGTACAAATAATAATAAAGTAGCCAAGACATAGCCCAATATTGTAGCACCACATCACTAGTGGACATTTGAATTTGCCAACTAGAATGTGGTCGGTTAACCGATGTGACAGTTAATCGGGGGTCGGATAATCGGTGTTCTACTGTATTGGAAAAACATGTACATCTGATATGTTCCAATTTCTATTAGTAATTTACATAACATTTTATGCTAATAGGTTTGTTTGTTCAGTTTAAGAACTGTTTCCAACCCTAGTTATTACTATTAATGTGCAGATTAGTGTAAATCTATTAAAAGCTGCATTTGTAGAGTTCTATATCTTACAAATGGGGATTTTTCTGCCTGTTATCATAAACAACTTTTCTATTCATAATATCAGTTAAAGTATATTGAAAATTATTTTAATGTAGTTAATATTAATTTACTTTTATCTACCATACAATAACAAAATGTCTGTGTTTGAAATAGATTATTGTTGAGATGAATAGGGACCAAGTCAGATTCTCTAATAGCTTAGTATTAAGATGATATAATGTCAAAGTAAGTAGGTGCCAAGATGATCAAATGCTAAACCACACTATTGCCATAATTAATTGGGCTATTTTTTGCTACAAATTAATAATTAGAAACTAAATAATTTGTGTTCAACTTCCACTCTGTGCCAACTGTTTTTTCCAGACTGTTCTAAATTATTTAATAATTATTATAATTATTTATTTCAATAAGAGATAGTGCATAACATCTACCTTTAGTACCAAATTAGTTAATTTCTGATTATTAATTGTAGCAAAAAATAACCTGATTAATTATGGCAATTATTTGGTTTAGTATTAATACATCCAGTTTTGGGATGTTCATATATATCAGCCATGGGAAAATGTGGCTCTTGCTGAAAATGTTAATTTGTGCTTTTTTATTATTATTTTTACAATTTTATTTCCACAATTTTGTGAGAATATGTTTATTAAAAAAATTCAATAATTGTTTTATATTATATAATAAAATCATAGTACAGAACTGTGGTACAGAGTAAAAAAGTACAGAACTGTGGCTCCCATGTAGTTTGTAAAACCTACATTTTGGCTCATACTGAACTTTTGCTTGCCCACCCCTGATATATATGATCAAATGCTGAAATGACTTGGTTTGGAATTTGACATTAAAAGTGGCATTAAAGAGAGATACTTTGTTTATTAATATTTCTTGTGCTTCTAATTACAGTAATCTTTCTATTTATGCAAATTCACTTTAACGTGATTAAAAAATTTTTGAATTATTAACTTTATGGAAATAAATGATAGTTATATCAAAAAGTTTGTTTTCTGTTATCAGTAATTCTTTTATATAGATATACTGTATATTTAAAAAAAACTTTAGTTAAAACTTTTCTACCCAATATGAGTAAAATATTTTATTTGAGACTATGGATTAAATCCCTATTTTAAATAGCTTTCCATGGCTCTATTTTCATGGTTTTTATTCACATCTTTTTTGTGGAAGCAATTACTTGCATAAATGAAGAGATTATTGTATTTCAATTTTAATTTCTTACCATTGTACTGATAATTTGTTTACCATGTATTGTTTACTCTTAACATATTCTACTTTTGAATAATCAAGGAATTGAAAAAAATCAGTAACAAGAAGTTTTAAAACAATAATTTTATTTACAATCTTTCATAGTTAGTGATTTTAAATAGTTAAAATTACATTCTTAAACATGTTAAATAACTAATCTTGAAAATATATTTTAAGATTTGTAAAATCCTTTATCTTGTATATAATTTTTATTTTAAAAATTGACTTTTATTATTGTAAAAAACTTAAAAGATTTATTGAAGTAAATTAAGATTTTTATAATGCATTGAAAATAATTATTAAAATATATTCAATAATTCAAAAATCTTAGGCATTTTGTTGAAATTTGAATTTATTTTATTAAAATTTAGGTCCAGCATCAGTACCACCTGGTGGATGAGTCGGGCCCTCCCCATAAGAAGACATTTACGGTTGTACTGAAGTTGGACAAAGAAGAATACACAGCCTCAGGACCGAGTATAAAAAAAGCTCAGCATGCAGCTGCAGATATTGCCCTTGATCAAACAGCATTAAAACATCCACCTCCAAAAAATCAAAGGAAGGCATTAGATCCTATAACACCAACTGTTGAACTTAATGCTCTAGCAATGAAAAGAGGAGAACCTGCTGTGTATCAAGTGATAGAACCTCAAAGACCTCAATATATCCCAAGTCTAAATTTCAGAGGGATGTATCATCAACGTTATCATTATCCCAAATTACCACCTACATACTATGTTTCATTAAAAGTTGGTAACCGTCAGTTTTTTGGAAAAGGACATACTTCACAAGCAGCCAGACATGCTGCTGCAGAAGAGGCTTTAAGGATTCTTCGTTCCCTTCCTTTGCCCGACCATGTTAAGAAACGCAATGAAACAATAAAAACAAATGGAGATACACCTGAAATTGATGCCAGTGCTGATTTAAAATCCCCAATAAGTCTAGTTCATGAAATTGCTCTTAAACGAGTGTTACCTGTTAATTTTGAAGTGATTAGGGAAAGTGGGCCTCCACATATGCGTACATTTATAACTAGATGTACAGTTGGGGATATAATCACAGAGGGAGAAGGAAATGGGAAAAAAGTATCTAAAAAACGTGCAGCTGAAAGAATGTTAGAGGAATTAAAGAAACTACCTCCATTACCTCCTGCCCAGCAAAAAGTTAAGAAAAAACCAGTTATGAAGAAAAAGAACAGAAACTTGATTAAGGTAAGAAAGTAACATTTTTAGTAATGAAATTATAATTTACATTGATGTAAATTTTATAGAATGTTAATAGTAACATAATTTTATATAAAAATATTTTTTTATTCATAAAAATAGTTATATATATATATAAAATTTAATGTATATATATAAAGCAAGCACACCAGACAAAATTAATCATTCTTAACAGAAATGACAGTAAACAGTTACCAGTTGCACAGAGAGTGCTGTGAGAGAATTGTTGGGAGATAAATAGCATAGATGTGATCTACAAAGTAATTTCTGTTTCGTGAATTGGTGAAGAGCAATGCAAGTGTTGAATTTGGTTTGCAAGAATATGGATCGTTTGACAGACATTACAAAATGGCAAAAAGGAATCATTGTGTTCAGCTGTTCCTACAGACACAAAGTGAATGAAGTCATTCAATTCATTTGTATGTTGAAGCATATTGTTCATCAGGTCTACAGGTCAACAGTGGTGTAGTTCATAGTCAACTGAAAATCATCTGAGTGTGCAAGAAGCATCATTGCTCATTATTAGATACATTCTAACAGGGATGACTAATTTTTTGTTTGGTGTGCATATATATTTTAAATAGATTGCCCAACATTCTGTTTTAACAGTATAAAATCATTCAAAAACATTAGGTAACAAAGAAAATTTAATTTACAATTTTATTTCCACAATTTTGTGAGAATATGTTTATTGTACAGAACATGTAACAATAAAACAGTACAGAAATGCAGTACAGAATAAAAAAGTACAGAACTGTGGCTCCCATGCATTTTGCAAGACCTACATTTTGGCTCCCACTGAACTCTTGCTTGCCCACCCCTGGTATATAAACTGTATTGACAAAATGTATGCAAGTTTAGTTTCATAACAAATACATAATGATACATAAAAAAAACTTCAAGATTGTTGTTTCTTTGCTTTTTCATTTGCAAATTGGTCAATTATTTTCTCCAGATCAAGTTGACAAGCTATTGTTTATTCAATTGATATAATAGCTAGAGATAAGATGGTGTTGTGACATGTTACTTCTTAAAAATGTTTTGATTAATTTTAGTTTTGAAAAACTTCACTGTACTGTTGCTGTCATTGCCTGTAAAGTTAAAAAATGAGGCATGCTGCAATAATGTGGGAGAACTTACTTGAGGCTGCAGTGTGAAAGTTTGGCAACTTTGCTTATAGAAATAATTTCGTTTACCTGACTATAAAAACACATTTTAAATCAAAGCAGTTGAGGTCCAAAACTAGGCGAAATTTGGAGGGATATGCCAATTGTAAAAATTCTGATTTTTTTTTTTCAGAATATTTTTATTAGATGATGCAACAAGCTATGCAAGTGATAAGCACTTAAAAAGTATACAGTACATTTCTATGCATTTGTAGCTAGAACTATTTTAAGATGATCAATACAAAACCTTCCTCACTTATTTCTAGCCGTTTGTACTTGAGTACGAACATTTTCGGCTTTCTTAATAGGCCTTCTTCAGGTACACTGTGGTCTGTTAGAGCATCAGTTGGTAGAAGTTTAAACACTGCCAATGTTTACCTAGGTATCATCTTACCAGTGATGTCATCGTTGATGATAGGTATAGACGATACTGAGGGCGAAAAATTCTTTCTTTTGGTAAAAAAGGGAGGTGTGCAGATAGTACATGATGGGATAATCGCTAAAGTTGGGGAATAAATTGTAAAGTAAGCGCGCTATGTAAAGAAGATGCACTGTCATGATGGGGTTAATGAGGAATGATGTCATAGTAGACGCCGTAAATAGTTAACGATACAGTAAGAAGAGGCGTGCGAACGACCGTAGATGGGAAAGGGCGAACGACCGTAGATGGAAAGCAGAATTGGAAAATAAACGTGACAAGTAAAAAAGCGCTAACGGTTGCACGCGGCGAGAGTGGGTTGGTCTATTTAGTTTAAGGGGTTGTCGAAGAGTGATTTCCATGCGGAGGAGAGCAAGTCTGCATCTCTGCTGTTGATACAACTGTCTTTGAGGGATTGCTTAAATATTTCAAAACTATTCTAAGCTTGGTGTGGTTGCGCATAGGAATAATAATCCTTGCCTCTTCCCATTTGGTTGTTATACTAGGTTCGCTTGCAAACTGGGCTAGGGTGGAAGTGAACTTTTTGTTGTATGCATTGTACTTGTGCTCAGCTATCCTCCGCTTAAGTGATCTATTGGTTGAGCCAATGTATGTTAGCCTCTTGCACGGGTTAGATCTGCTGTCCTTTAGTGGGACCGTGTAGACTCATGGTGTCCTAGCTTTGCTGCATTTGTCCTTGGTATTAGCCAGAAGTTTATAAATCATAGGGTTACGTCTGTATGCAAGAGTAGCATTGACCTTTTTTTTTTTTTTTGCTATGAATTTAAAGGCTTGGCTCACTCTAGGGTCTAAATCGACGGTAATGTGCTTACTTTGTTGCTTTAGAGCAGTGGTTCCCAATTAGTTTTTTCTGCGTACCACTTCAAGAAAGAGCTCAAACTCGCGTACCCCTTATAGCAGAAATTCATATTAATCCACACTAATATAAATTCGAAGGTAATTCTGTCTGTCTGTCTGTCTGTTTGTTAATTTTTCACGTCTAAACCACTGAACAGGTTTTAATAAAATTTGGCACAGAGATAGCTTACATGTTGGAGATGAACATAGACTACATTTTACTGCGAGAAAATATCTTACTCCTACGAGAAAATTTGATATAATGCGGGCGAAGCTGTGGATAGACAGCTAGTGATAAATAGAATAAGTTTTTTTTTTTACATTTATTACCTTTAAAATACAATTCTAATAATAATAAAAATAACATAAGGTTATTTAATTTTAATGTGACAAATGTGCACGATTTTCTTTGCACAACTTTGTAAAATCTGGTTNTCATTATTTTTTTTAAATAAAATTACTGTATACATGTTTTGTTCATTTGTTTATATTAAGTTCATCTTGTAACAACAACCCATAACTTGATTTAATTAATAAATGTCAAATGGTCATTTTTGGGCTTAGTCAAATGATTATTAGTTACTAATTATTAACTTAATGTAAAAATAGCCTGATAATTTGGTTGAGCATTTTGACATTTATTAATTAAATTGGGTTATGAGTTGTTGTTATAACCCAAATTAGTTGGAATTAAGTTCACTTTTTTTTTTTTTAAATAAGGATTATAACAGTTACTCTCTTAGATGGTTGTTGATAAACTTTTTAATTCTATTATTTACTTTTTATTTCCATCGTGTTAAGTTCTATAAATTACTTGTATCTCAATAAGTGTTCCATATTTGTGCACAGAGGAATTTCATGTTTCTTAAAATAAGCTATGCTTTTTCCAGTTTTGTAATTGTTACTGGTAACTTAACCCCTTGACGTCTGCACCCGAGATAACTTGAACAGGTTACATAGCGTTACAGAAAACGCTCTCCTTTCAGCCCCCCAAATTTTTTTTTTGGATTTTTGGAATGTTTTTTAAGTCTCCAAATTTTTTCAAAAATTTTATTGAGATTTTAATTTACCTTTAATGATGCACGATTAACTCTTAATTGTTTTTTAATGCAGTTTTTTAATCAAATTTAATTAATTGTTCTAAAGTTGTAGTGCATGGATTTTACTTCGGTAAAGTTATTTAAAGTTAGTTTCAGATGTCAAAAATGACCTCCAATAGTTTTTTAATTTTTTTAATTAATATATTTTATTATATATACGTTTAATTAAATTGGGGGGGTTGGAAATCGCAATAAAAATTTTAATTTTTTAAAAATATTTAAAAATATACTGCCAGCTAGTATTCACCCTACTTTAAACCCTTGTCCTCCCGAGAAGTCTATGAGAATGCCCCGGGAAATCCAACACCAGATGTTCTAAAGGTCATCCAGCTGTGTAAACAATGACTCATCAGTGTAACATATTGCAGAAAGGGGAGACAATGGAAAATAAAGTTTGAAGCTTTTTCTTCAAAATTAACGCATTTCTTTCGTTTTTTTTTTTCAGTTTTAAGTATTTTTTATGTTTAATTAAAAATTCCTAAAAAAAATTCTTACGGCAAGTGGTTAATCAAAATTAATTCTTGAAATAACACTAATTTTGTATTGAAATTACTGAAAATGGAAACATTACTACATTACACATTTTAGAATATTCTAGTCATCTTTTTATTCAAACTTTTTTTATCATATATGTATATATCACTTTTTAAAAATCATTCAAATATTGGAGTAATTTTGAATAAACTAGACCACTTTTATTCTTAAATTGTAAAACTCATTTATATCCTTTGTTCAGATTTAGATATCCATACTCCATAGTATTAAACCAAATGAAGTGCCATATTATCGGGCTTTTATATGGCTAAATTAATGATTAGACAGTAATTAATTTGTGTAGAGATAGTCTCCATAGAACTATTATCATCATTTAAAATAGATTTTAATTCTACCATTTGTTGTTAAATTTTTACGCTTTGAATTTTGATATTAAAAATGTGCATAATTTTAAAGTTCTCAGTAACTTTAAATTTGATTAAATTTGTAAATAGTCCACTTTACTAAAGAAAACACCATTTTTTGTATTAAAAGAACTTGTGGTGGATATATTTAGTTAAATATTTTCAATGATAGATAAAGAGAAAATTTCATTAAAGCAGTTTTTTAAATATTATATGAAGAAATCAAAGAGTAAATAATGCATAAAGAATCTGATTGAAAATAAAAATAAAAAAGTTTTTGTAATAATGTAATGAATAAAAAAAATATATATATAAAGAGTAAGCAATATGAAAATTTAAAACTAACAAGTTCTACAAGTATTTAGGATTCCAACAGGCCAAACTAACAGAACATACACAAATAAAAGAAAGATTAATTAAAGAATGCCAAAGTAGGTTAAATGCTATTCTTAGAACACAAGATATTTGCCGCATATTTAAACAACATGGTCTACTACTGCCCCTTGCTCCATTACCTAACTTGCGCAGACTGCTCTTCAATGACCGA